ATTATTTTGCATATTTTCCCAGATTTGAGGTGAATTTTGCAGTAGGAGAGAGATCTATGCTGCTTTAGCACTTCTCCTGAGAATACTAAAACCAACAAATCTGAAACTTGCTTAGGTGTGTCAACAGGTGCTGCAATCTCAAGAGATGCCTGGCATGTAGGCACACATGAAGATTCAGCAACAATCAAAAACCCATAACCTTGCATTAAATGCACTACTTCCAGCCACAAAGTGGACTCCTTACATTCAATTACTTGAATAGGTTATATAAATAATGAGAAAATACTCAAAAGAAAGATCCTATTTCTGCTGATGGCCACTGAGAATGCAAAATGAGTGAAACCAGAACTCTCTTACCTTAACTGAAGATGGATGGGCATTAAAGCTTTATAAGAAATATTTCCCACAGCCTAAATCAGTTTGAGGGCAGGACTACAAGGAAGTTCATTGTTTAGTGAGGAGTCAATGTAATTTTATGTTTTTAATTTCCTCCATTTTGAAATTGCCCAAAGAAACAATTTAATTGCTATGCATGCTATACTTTTGATTACTTCCAACTGGGCTTTTAAAATACACATTTTACTAAAATGAACAGAGCAGGAAAGGAGTGGCTTTTCTCTACATTTTACTTGTAGTGTTTGACCGGTAACAGCACCATTTTATTCGCCATTTATTTACACTTTTTATAGGCTCTTACTATTTTTGTAATTTTAATGGGGAAAAGATTTTTAAAAGAGAAAATGTAGAAATCTAAAATTAACAGAATATTACTGAGATTCCATACCTGGGAAATACCATTACTAAAAATATGTTCTACTAAAACCTGAGAAAATACAGTTGCAGTGACAGACCTTTCAGGTGCTAATCTCTCCCACTTAAAGTACAGGTAGTCAGCTCTACCAAGACTTGTCCCAAGAGAGCCTTCTAGTCTTTTTAGTATTGCTTTCTCCTTCTGACTCTCTGAATAGTACCTCTTCTACTAAGTCGCAACTCAGAAAAAAGTGTAAATTTTCTTCACATCTGAGCAATTTTGCTTAATAGAGCAATTCTTTATCTTCTCATGTCTAACTGGTGTGAAAAATCACAGAGATAATATCCAAAGAGAATTTGGATAACATGTGTGAGAAGGAGACTTTTTAAGAGAGTGGATTTGCAACTTTTATTATACTTCCAGTTCCCTGCTAAAATAACTAATGTTCTTTTCAACTGAGAGTTTAAGTGAAATGCTACAGACTGTACTTCAGGCACCCCATGGGTTAACTTGCTATTATAGTTATTCTTTGACCAAAGTTCTGTCTGATATATTTTGCTAAGTTGTCTAAATCCTGCTGTAGTATTGATTTCTCCCTTTAAAAGCTCTCACCCATTCAGTAAGCTCCAAGGACCCCTTGTCCCAGCTCAATTCACTCTTAAAATGCAGCTGGGATATGTTATTCCTGACACCAGTATTACAGTTGCTAACTGATGTTAGAGATATAAGATGATTTTAGAAGCAGAAAGGGAAATGTTTCTTTACCACAGAGAAATATACAGTACTCCTTAGAACACTTGGATAACTGTTTTGCTCAAGAAAGAGACTTTTTTTCCCTTATTCTGTTGCTTCTGGTTTTCCATTTATTGAGCACTTAACAGTAGCTACATTTAATTTATTAAGAGGACAGCATTACCATTATAATCCCAAGCCTGCAGAACTATTACAACTAATGAAAAGCAGCAAGTAGATGCATAGAACAAAGTAAATTAGCCATCCAAGCATCATGGTCCAGAGGTTCTCTTCGCACAACAGAACTCTCCAAGATAGGTTCTACATCAAGTCTTAATCTTAAAATCTTAACTGTTAATATTAAGCAAAATTGAAGGTTTCAGAAATTTCAGTCAAAGAACATACCCACTGAAGGACCAGTCTTAATTATAGGTAGTGACAAAACAAAAGATTTTTGACAAATATGTCCTCTGAAACTGTATCCTTAAACCTACCCTTGTTTTTTTTGTGCTTTGCTGCCCAGTAAGTATGTATCTTTAACTACCCCCATTTTCTTCAGTCTAATTTCAGAGAAGAAAGTCTAGTGCTGGAAAAAAAATGCTTCTTATTATGGTTCAGTATCACTGCTTCTTAGTCTAGCTTAGTCAGTTATTTTCTTCTATTATAATGCCAAATGTTATTTAGATTTGAGTCATTTAGTAATGGTACACTGAACACATCAAGGATTCTGCAAAATTCCATACCTAGTAGCTGCCTCTTCATTTTCATAATAATCACATATTGATATCCTTTTTTCCCCAAAATTACACACACTGTTATTTAAAAAATATCTTAGTGTCTTAACACAGTTAAAGAGATTATGGTGCAATGAACAGCAGTCTTCAAAAACATTCTTTCGTGTCATTAATATACAGGAAATCTAGTTAAAATTCTTTCAGCTTTTAAGGAACCATAAGGAGCTTTGAGATGTAGAGCTTGACACTAACTTTTTAAGAAATTCCCTTGGAGCTATCATCTGCATTAGTGAAGATATTTAGTTAAAGGTAGCACCCTACCCTGCTTTACAGAAATCTATCAGTCAATTTAAATGTTGTTATTAGCCACAGTTTGACAAAACTGCAACTAAGGATTTACATAACAAGAGCAGTGTATAATTTATTTATTCAGGAGTTAGACTTCGATGATCCCTGTG